CTCGGTTTTTAGACATAAATTGAAAACAATGTATATTTTATCGGTCATAATTTTAATATCAGTGTAACTTTTCTAACCCTGTCTGGCAGCATGATCTTTTGCCTGGATGATGTGCAGAACTGTACCCGCTCTCTGTTGAAGCTGGTCTCTGGCTGGATCCCACGTCATGTGATCGGGGCTGTGCTCGTTTCACTTCCCGCCGTGTCTGTCTTCTCCCACCTGACTTGGGCTTGCAGTCTGGAGCTGCCCATCCAGGTGATGTCCTCAACATCCCTCCTACTCTGTTTTATATTTGTAATAAATGCTGTTCCTTTCAACTTTCTATTTATCCTGTATCCTGGAAAAAACGATCACACTTTTTATTATATTTCAACATACATTTCCATCAGAAATGTTTCTTGAGCAGCAAATCAGCAGAATAGACTGATTTCTGAAGGATCATGTGACGGGAAAGACTGGAGCTTTGCATCACAGGGATAAATTACATTTTAAAATATATTCACATAGGAAACAGTTATTTTAAATGGTAATATTTAATAGTTTTCGCTGTATTTGTGATCATATAATACAGACTCAGAAGTCACAAAAGGTCAGAAGTGAATGAAATCATTTAACAAATTAAAACAATGTAATATAAACTCCTGCTTTTTCAGATCTCAACTTGAAGTTAATGTTCTCTAGCCTTCTTTTAAACAAACTGAATTGATTTAGAATATCATAAATAGGAATGAAACGGGGACACTTTACAATAAGGTTTCATTAGTTAACTATAGTTAACATAAACTAACAATAAACAATACTTCTACAGAATTTATTAATCTTAATGTTAATTTCATAATTTACTAATACACGATTAAAATCTAAACGTGTTTGTTAAAGTTAGTTAATGCACTGAAGTCCCATGAACAAACAATGAACACCTGTATTTGTATTAACTAACATTAACAAAGATGACTAAATATAGTAACAATTAAATTGCTCGGGGTTAGCTCATGTTATTTATTATTTTAACTCAAGTTAACAAATTAGACCTTATTGTTACATTGGAATTTATTAAGGGGCCTCTGCTATTACATTTTTTTTTATTATTTTAGTGTCTAATTGGTAGTTCTGACATCCCTAGATCACTTGCAGAGTTTTTATTCTTCAAAAAGTTGTATGGAAATCAAAGTAAACATTACCATTAGTTTTCCCCAGTTTCTTGAAGCCTGTTTGATCAAATTGTATCCTTTGGGTAATTAAAGGAAGAGTTTTTAAGCTTTGAAGATGTTGAGAACGTTGTTACTCTACACAGGATCAAGCTGTAACGTGTGTTGAGGCTTTTATATTGGAACAGACTGTATGCTGAAAAGTTCATAACGGGTTCATGTTCACAGATGATCCCACAGCCCTTGTTTGTAAATATGTGTGTATGTGATTGGTTCACTGTTTAAACTTGCACTCTTTCCTGTTCTGGTTCTATAGGTGACCATGTTCCTGTGCTGTGCTCTCATTATTGCTATTATCCAGTACTGTAACTTCTGCCAGCTCAGTTTCTGGATGCGCTCTGTTTTGGCCACTGTTGCCGGTTTGTCTTTACTTATCCTGCTCTACAGCGCCACCACCAGCCCCAGGTCAGACATCCTCAGCTTTTGTTACCACTTCAACTTTTTACCAATACATACAACTATTATAGCTTTAGAACATAGTTATGAGAGTCAACAAAACAAACATATACAGTTTATGATGGTACATGACCACCGATACTGAAGAAATATTCCCAATACCACCCAAAACAACTTGGGTATGTCTGTAAAATGTTTAACGGTATGGGTGTTTTCCCTATGGTCTATGATTGCACGTGACGTCACAAGTACTGGCTGGTGGGCAGGAACGCTGTTCTCCAGCAACGAAACCCAGTAAACTATTCAAGGATCTCACCTGGGCGTCGCCAGTTTTTATACAAACGTTGGTGTTGCGAGGTGTAAATGACACTCCAGATAGTTGTTGTGCGATTGGTTGTACTAACCAGATGAGATAGCCTTCACAGTATAACGTTACACGTCTGTGCAGTGATCATTCCATCACTCAAGGTAATTTCAACATTTGTTTGAATACAATGGGTGTAGGATCATTTAATTAATCGCGTCTTTAAGTTAACCTGTAGTTTCGTCGATTAACGCCACCTGCTGGTTCGGCGAGTCAGCTTTTTTTGTTATGTGGCTAAAGGGCAATTTATACTTCTTCGTAGGGTGCGTGCAGTAGGTACGGCGTAGCATACGCAGAGAAGCGTCCCATACCGCGTACCCTTCACCGTCGCCTGATGCGCACCTCGTCAGAAATGTAACTACACGTCGCGACGACGCGGACCGCAAGATCGGTGATTGGTCGGCTTGATAGCATCGCATTTCCTCCTACACATTTCCGCACGTACCATCTCCTCCGACACAGTCTTTCATTTCTGCCTTTCAGTTTTAGTAATTTCACTAAAATTAACTGTTTTTCCACCTCGATAAGCTCCAACTCCAATATGATCCGCTCTCTTTCAGGCTTGTAGTAACCTAGTAGCCGCAACTCGAGGAATCTAAACAGTGGAACATTAAAACTCTCCGCCGCCAACTAGCGTTTCGGAGCAGTACTGCAGAGCAACCAAGACCTGAACGCAGAAGTATAAATGCTCACAAAGGCGTCGCCTACGTGCGTAGCCAACGACGTACACTACGGCGTACCCTCGATGCAAAAGTATAAATTGGCCTTAACTGCTGAAATTCATTGTAAAATGAATTGCTTCTGGGCACATGACGCTCTCGCCAGTGGTGGTGTAAATGGAGTTGTCGTATTATGCTAACAATAACAAAAGTTGAAGTTTGTGATATCTATGGTTTTCAATGAGAACAGTAGAGCTAGATTATTTACCGAGGAATTATTTCCGCTCGACTATCTAAAAAAAACCCTTGTCTTCTTTACACAATTTAACTACCTTCACCTTGATGTTAATCCTAGTCCATAGTTTTGCAGCTAGCTTGCTAACAAAATTGATAGCTACTAGAAAGACAGTTACTGTAGAGAAGTCTGATTTATAACTGTTTTCTTTTTGCAGGGCCACTGACACTGTTCCAGTGTTTTGGTGAGTGTTTCTGTTACTGCTTCCTTGTGCTGACTCTGATTTGAGCTGACATTTGTGGGAGATCATGATTTTTTTATATATATATATATGAATGTGTGTTGATATAATACTCAAATATGATGCACTCACCTGTAAAAAAATAAATGATGAAACGCTACATCGGCTGGAAGTAATTTAAATCACATTAATTTATTAAAGGGGGGGTTGATTGCGATTTCACTTTTTTCATTTTAAATAGTGTGTAATGTTGCTGTTGGTGCATGAACAGTATCTGCAAAGTTGCAGCGCTGAAAGTTCAGTGTAAGCAGAGATATCGTCTTTTTAAAATCAGGAAGTATAATTGCCTACAAAAACGACTCGATTGGGACTACAGCTGGGTTATGGTACGTCACTAACCCACACATTTGGATCAACCCCTCCCTCCGGAATATGCAGAAAAGGGCATGGCCATATTTCAGCAGCTCGTCGAGTGTGTTGTTCACACAGCTGTCAGGTCTTCTGTATTCGAACTTCCCACAGACGCTGTACTTCGTCAACAATGGATACAATTTATGTTTGATTATGTTCCTGAAAATGACGATCGTAATCTAGCTCTCTGTGCTGCGCATTTTACGGAAGACAGCTTCCAGAATCTCCACGAGTTCAACACTGGATTTAACAAGAAACTGTTACTAAAATATGAAGCAGTTTCAACTTTAAAACCAGAGGCAGCAGTTGTTGGGCCACAACCTGTAAGTAGGCTAAGACTTCATCATTTTAAATGTATTTTCAAGTATAATTCCAGATGTAGCCTTTTTTTTTCAAATGCCGGCACTGGCTTTATAGCCACTATAGGCTACTAGTAATGGTATTGTGTCTACGACAAACGCGTACAAACATTATGGACCTGAATTTTGTATAATGTTTTAAACGTATTTTTCATGTATATATGCTTTATGCCGTTATTTTCGATTTGATCAAGAACGTAAACTTGCCAACGCTGTTTGTGTTTAACATTAGTAGCCAGTCAGTTGCTATTGTTGCCAGTCAGATGCTATTGTGTAAAACAAACGTGCATAAAGTTAAAAAAATGTAGCAAATTATCATTCAGAAACGTTTAGTAAAAGCCGTGTGTGGTTCTGTGTACTCTCTTCATCGCTGCTTTCTTGGTCTGATTCTGCCTCAAACTGATACTGCAGTTCGACACATACCAGAGCTCACGTTTCGCCCGTAAAGGTAATGGGTGTTAACCAGTGTTGGGTGTAACTAATTACTAAGTAATTAGTTACTGTAATTTAACTACTTTTCCCTTGAAAATGTAAAGTAAGGGATTACTTTTCATTTATCTGTAATTTAATTACAGTTACTTCTGATGTAATTGAGGTAAATACTGTGTATAGATCAATCCGATCTCACAGCGATTCGTATGCATTTTCAACGCATTCTCACCCCAAGGCGTCACCTTTGACCATGCTTCAATATTTGACGTTTTAGGCGCCCTTTAGCGTCACTTACATAACGGGATCCTACGGCGTCCTCTGACTGACGCTAAAGGAAAGCGTCAGTTAGAGGACGCGGTTAGGTTTAGGTGTGGGGGTAGGGTACACGCGATCCTAGGGCGTCATCTAACTGACGCTAAAGGGCGCCTAAAGCGTCAGATATTGAAGCATGTCCAAATGCTTCCCAAGGCGTCAGTTAAGTGACGCCTTGGGGGTGAGAATGGGCTGGCATTTTATGAGGAATCTAAATATTACGACCGCACTCTAATTATTGTAAAATATGTATGAAAAAAGTGTGAGATCAGACATAAAACAATAGTGGGTTTAACATCAAAATGTATTGTCTGATGCTAAAAACTACGTTTTTATAATGTAACCTTCTCCACCTTGGTCAGATTTAGGATAATTCATGCAATTTTATAGTATTTATTTGAAAGAATTAAGACAGACTCATGTCTATCCTTGTATTATTCAGCTGGTTGAGATTGATATGGGATTTTGAAAGTAATTAGTAATTAAATACTTTTTAGAGAGAGTAATTAGTACAGTAATCTAATTACACTGCTGAAGAGGTAATTAGTAACTAGTAATTAATTACTTTTTTAGAGTAACTTACCCAACACTGGTGTTAACCTTCCGGACAACGTGAGCGACAGTTTAGCCAATCACAACACACCGGCCCAAACTAACCAATCTGAGCCCACTACGTGTTTCTGAGGGAGCGGTTTCATAGAATCAGGAAGTCAACCGCTCGTTCGAGGACAGAGGAGAGCGCGGCTGACAATAAAAGTGAAGTTTATGAAAAATAAGACTTAAAAAAAAAGAAAAAACACGAATAGATGTTATATTGCACCCCATAAACACAATCATGCAAGGAAAAAATATAGTCAACCCCCCCTTTTAATATAACTCAAACTAGAACTAAAAAGGCCCCATTAACCTGGAAGTTGACATGAATTGGAAATTCATCCAGTTTTCTAAATTCTTATTGATCTTTTTCTGAACAATTAATCTGTGGATATGTTTAAAAAGTAAATGTTTCTTTTCCAGGAACACGAGTAACCAGAGTGTCTTAGTAGATCACACAGGTGAGTTGGACTCTGCGCCCACAGCTCTCGACCTGCTCGTCCTCGAGACCGTGCTCTCCTTCTTCCTTCTGCTGCTGCTGGTTTGGTTCCTCAACCGGGAATTCGAGGTCAGCTACCGCCTACATTACCACGGTAACGTGGAAGCCGACAAGCATCGCATCAAGATTCAGACCATGCGAGATCAAGCGGACTGGCTGCTGCGTAACATCATCCCCATGCATGTTTCCGAGCAGCTCAAGGTGAACCAGAGTTACTCTAAAAATCACGACATCGTCGGGGTCATCTTCGCAAGTATCGTCAACTTTAGCGAGTTCTACGAAGAGAGCTACGAGGGAGGGAAAGAGTGCTACCGAGTGCTTAACGAACTCATTGGGGACTTTGACGAGCTCTTGCGCAAGCCTGCGTTCTCCAATGTAGAGAAGATTAAAACCATTGGTGCGACCTACATGGCAGCATCTGGATTAAATGCGCAGCAGTGCCAGGAGCAGGTGCACCCGCACGCTCACTTGCGTGCCCTCTTTGACTTCGCTCTCGAAATGATGCGCGTGGTGGACGATTTTAACAAGAACATGTTGGGTTTCAAGTTCAAGCTGCGAATTGGCTTCAACCACGGGCCCCTGACTGCCGGCGTCATCGGCACCACCAAGCTGCTTTACGACATATGGGGCGACACGGTCAACATCGCTAGCCGCATGGACAGCACAGGAGTGGAGTGCCGCATACAGGTTAGCGAAGAGAGCCACTGTGTGCTCAGCAGAATGAACTATACCTTTGACTATCGCGGCACTGTAAACGTAAAAGGGAAAGGGCAGATGAGGACTTACCTGTATCCCCAAATGAACGAGGGCAGATCGGGGTCCACACAAAGCCTGGAACAATGCCAGATGGACAGTGTCATTGGGCATTTAGAGCCCAAAACACTTTCCAATACAACATCTGTCGCACCACTAAACCCTGTATCCACTTCCCCTGATGTTGCCTCTATCAGTGGCCACGGTGTGCCTCAGGGCCGTGTATTAGGCCCGTCTCAGATTACAGAGGAGTTGCACCAAGACACTAAGGACACTTTTCCTGTCCCTGAGCTCAAAGAAAAGGATTACGAGAGTCCTTATCAACCACCATCGCTGAGTGGTACACAAACTCCATCAATAGCACAACTGTACGCACCATTGGCCAGACCAGAGACACCTTTACAAGGAGAGGATGATGAAGTAGATGAGCATACAAAGCTCAGGGCAGTGGAGTGATTTCGGCTGAGCAGCGGTCCTTCCTTAAGAGCCAATCGGCTGTTGATATCGAGGCTCTACTTCCTTGACGGGGCTTTTCCAACCACAACTGTTGGAGTTAGCAGCTTGTATAGGGCATATGTGTCTGATGTAGAAAAACGGGTGCGTTAAGCATCTGCTGTGTGGATCACAGTGTAGCACAGAGGGGAAAATGGATTTAATATTTCTGATGTTCGCAAATGATTATTTTTTTTTTTTGTTTATAAAGTGCCTTCACAGTATGTAAACCGAATAAGATCAGTCAAATGAACAACTCAGAGATATTTGAACAAATATATCAGCATGGTTTTTCGAAAAGATCTGGACAATGCTGTTTTTCGTAACGTAAAAATGTAATATATTACTACACCTCTTATGCCGTATTAATTATTTCCCTTAATTTCAGTGTTTTTTTTTTTTTCTCTCAAAATAATCAAAGTGCCAGTTGCTAATTAGGACAGGATTACAGGCGAATACATTATGGTTATTATAATAAATATACAGCGTATTAGTTTCACTACTTGTTGGGCAGTCACCTACATCACATTAAAAGAAAACCAAGGAAGACAAGGGTGGATAGATGGAGTTGGGCTTCTGGCACTTTTGACCACAATGCCCATATTAATATCTAATATATCTGGCAGCATATATTGTAGCTTTTATCAATAGAAGGTAAAGGTGTCTCACGCACAATAACACCCTAAACTCATGAAATGAGAAAAACGGCATAATCAGCCTTATTTGTTTGAAAAGCAATCAAGAAAGATGGCTGAAACCATGCTGTGCGATCTCTCCGCTTCATTAGAGGACACAAGGGCTGGTGATTTGTAATGCATTCAGTAATACAGAGTGTAATGTTTGTTGTAAACATGTACAAAAATGTTGGCCTAATAATTTCTCATTGCCTGACAGGTCCTTATTCCTTAGCACAATTATGGCATGGAAGGGAATTTCCGACAGGATTCAAAGCTAAATTAATAAACTGATTTTTCAAGCATGGCACTTACAATATATACGGCAGAACGAGTGGCACTGTTTTCCCCTAAATATTTCCAGTGAAATCCTACCAATGAGGCCTTCAATGAAGTATTCAGTTGAACAGGTTTTGTAGCTGAATTATCAGTCAGTGCATTTTAATTCATTTCATTCAGTGCCTCAAACTTTTTCATATCAGAGCGAGTTGGTATAGCCATCGTTCTTATTGATTACCGTGCACTCATGAGACCTGTTCACCCCATGGCCTTGAGGAAAATGGTTGTTGTGTTGCCATAGTCGGCGAGCAGCTTGAGCTGCTGTTTTGGTATAAATCAAATCTTCTAAGAAAGTAGAAGTAAATGTATGATAGCCAGATTTTGTTCATTTTATTTTTTGGTGTCGATTCTCTTGGGTTTTATGGAAGCTTGTTTCCGCCACTGAATAATAATAATAATAATAATAATAATAATAATTGTGACTTTTTATCTCACAATTGCGAAATATAAAGTCAGAATTGTGAGATATAAAGTCAGAATTGCGAGATATAAAGTCACAATTGTGAGGTATAAAGTCAGAATTGCGAGATATATAGTCAGAATTGCGAGATATAAAGTCAGAATTGCGAAATAGAAAGTCAGAATTGCGAGATATAAAGTCAGAATTGGGTGATATAAAGTCAGAATTGCGAGATATAAAGTCAGAATTGGGTGATATAAAGTCAGAATTGCGAGGTATAAAGTCAGAATTGCGAGGTATAAAGAGGTATTTCTCGCAATTCTGAGAAAAAAAGAATTGCGACTTTTTATCTCATGATTCTGACTTTTTCTCACAATTGCGAGTTTACATCTCTCAATTCTGACTTTATATCGCAATTCTGACTTTATAAACACACAATTGCGAGTTTATATGTCGAAATTCTGACACGACATATTCTGATCTTTTCTCAGAATTATGAGATAAACTCGCAATTGCGACTTATCAGGCCAAACTTTTTTCCCCCTCAGAATAGTTTAAATCTCACAATTCTGACTTTATAACATGCAATTGCGACTTTATATCTAGCAATTCTGACTTTATATCATGCAATTGTGACTTTATCATGCAATTCTGACTTTATATCATGCAATTGTGACTTTATCACGCAATTCTGACTTTATATCACACAATTGTGACTTTATATCACACAATTCTGACTTTATATCTCGCAATTGTGACTTTATATCTAGCAATTCATCTCGCAATTGTGACTTTATCACGCAATTCTGACTTTATATCACGCAATTCTGACTTTATATCACACAATTGTGACTTTATATCTCGCAATTGTGACTTTATATCTCGCAATTCTAACTTTCCCTCTCACAATTCTGAGAAATAAAGTCAGAATTGCGAAAAGTAAACTCGCAATTGGGAGAAAAAAAAAATCAGAATTATGAGATGAGAAAGTCGCAGTTACCTTTTATATTTTTCATTCTATGGCGGAAACAAGCTTCCATTGGGTTTAGACAGCAGTTTAGGGCGTTTTTTTTTTTTTTTTTTTTTTTTACACAACTGATGCCTTTCTTTACCTGATTTTTGTCCCCGATGCATTCAGAACACTAGAGAATAATCTGCAGTATATCTTGCAATGCGTCTTACATTAGTCAATGGCGCAAAGCAAGATAAGCAGCAAGTCCTGTTGGATCGGTATCCTCTGCCATCATGTATAATGAATAAGCTGGCCTCTGAGGTTGAGGAAAGAATTTGCTCATTGTTTTGTTTACAGAGAAATCACTAATTTGTTCTCAAAATATGAATAAAAACCAGTGCCTTTTTGTTGAATTCCCCCAACCCTCGCCTAAATTCTAATACCAGGTTGCTTCAGTGTCAAAATATCAGCTTTCAGAACACCTGCAATATTGTTATTGTATCATATTATTTCCTCTTTGATGTGAATTATAATTCCAACCATTTTTTTTTCAATGTACACTGTGTATCTTTAAATTGAACTTTTCGGGAAGGAAAAGGGATTTGTTTTTGCTGTTTATTGTTTTATGCTGCACTGCTTTCCACCTTTGAGTTATTGTATCACTCCATTGGCTAAAGAAGCCCCAGTGCTGACAGTATTGAATTATACTTGTGCATAATGTATGTGGTTTTGTATTAAATGCATTCATATTTATTGGGGCTGTGCATGAATCGGTGTGCAGCCATAGAGCCTAATATCAAAAGGGCATATTTATGAAAGGGAGCCACTTAAAGCAGGGAGGGGACGGGTTTTTATGACCAGTCCCACCTAATGTAACAAGCACCTATTTCAGTCCTCAAGGCCTGAACTCTAAAAAGTGCCTCAGATTTAATTCTACTAGTTTTATGATATTTTGGATGAGCTAAAATGGAAAAAGTGTGATGTTAAATTTGTTTTATGTGTTTCTCACCACTGCCTGCATCCTTGTAGGTTTTATTATTTTGCCATATTAACATCGTCACATGGCATTCACTGCTTCATTTTTTTGTATGGAAATGTAACAAATGTTGATTGGTTAAGAGACAGAGTGCAAATCTAATCTAAAAAATGTGCCCTTAAATATGATTTCACTGGCTTTTATTAACTGTGTAATAATTATTTGTGGCTTTTGTGGGAATATGTGTATACCAAAGAATTGTAATAGTGTGGGCAGACGCTGCAAGACAGATCTGTGCATTGTGGGTAAGATTTTTTATTTTTTTTTCCAAGCAGCACATGTTCTTCAATCATTTGTTTTTATGCACATGAGACACAGCAGGTATTGATTTATTAGCCATTATATTCAGGCAAAAAGCATAATCTGTATACATTTGCACAGTGCACTCACTTTGTATGTACATATCATGTATTGTATTATTTGATTTTTATTTTTCAAAATTGATGCTATATGTGCATGTGCCAGATTTCGAGAGTAGAGAAACAATGACAAGATATCGGAAATGCCGTGTGTCTGTTTTATGCGTGGGCCAGCTGGGGGGGAAAAGTGAATAAGCAGAATATCTGTAAAACTTAATATAGTGTCACTGGTGAATAAATTTGAGTTTTACATTGACGAAATTGAGGCATTGATAAAAATTATAATGATACGTACTGTATAAAGGTGCTAGATCATATGTCTTTCAAAACTGCTTTGTGGAATTTATTGAAAGTAAAAAGTTTATTTGGAAAGTTTTGTCAGCTGAAGAGTTGACATGTTGTAAAACTACATTACAAATCCATTGAACGCATTGTATTTCTATCTCTCAGCCCCATTTTCATTCATGTCAAAAATTAAATATGGTGGTCTATCTCTTATAGGCCTATCTTTAAATTCACGTCACTATTAACTATTATGAAGATTTTTAAAATTGGCACTTTTGGTATCAGAAGTGGCATGTGTACTATTTATGTGGGTCAGATATGAAACACAAAAATATTAAGTAGGCCTACAAGACAAACACAATCATTTATTCTTGTTAAACACATATATTTGGATTTTAGTACAAGTGCCGTTTGAGTTTTTTTACTGGAAACAACTAGAGACCTAATATCGGCTGAATTTAAAACTATTAATTTATCTCAAATTATTATCCCAAAAATGACTTTGTCTACAAGATTATTGACGAAATTAACAGTTATTAGCCGCAGATACTCATTTGTTGTCGTCTGCTGCCTCCAGCGGCCGCTTTGCGCGCTCACAGCAGGTTTGACGTAGGGCGTGATTGCGCTCGCTCCCCCTCCCCCTCGGCTCCGTCTATCTGGAAAAAGAAAAAAAAACTTTTTGTATCGAAGGAATCAACAGCCGCCATCTTGTCGCGGCTCGGAATCAGGATTTCGATAGAGCACTAATTTTTATTTTTGAACACGGAGGATCCAAACCGAGGTTTGACGACACCGTTCAGTGGAAAATGACACCTTTATATCGCCGCGAAGGAATTTTTGGCGAAAAATCCTGGATTTAATCGGCGTTCGTCGGCCACGAAACCCTCGCATATCTGATTTCCCCTTCAGAGCGACGCTTGCGTCTGTATTTCTCTCGGAGCGGGGATTGTTTACCGGACGCTTTTGGAGGACAGACAGCGCCGAGGGGACTATTTTGCACAAATATCTCATTTTCATGCAACCGTGCATTTCTACACGGAGCCAGAATGTTTTTGCACGAAAAAAATTGATGTCAGAAAATGGATCGCATTCCGTTGCAAAACTAACGACGCTCGTGCGCGAGGATTCCTGTGGATATTTTATTTGGGATTTTACGTTGAATTGGCGGAAAGGAGGCGTTTTCTCTCGGCAATATAACGATGATAATGTGGGTGTTGGGTGTTGGATTATCATGGGGTGAATGGTGGTGGCGACGCGGGGCGCTGTTGCTGCTTTTTTGAGAAAATCCTCCGCCGAGCCGCTCCACACTCCCCACGTCTTGCAAAAGTAAGGTAACATCTGTTATTCCGACGAAAGGGTCCTTCACTTTGCATTCCCCCCCCCCCCCCACAACATTCGGCCAGAAGCATCTCTTAATCGCGATGGCTGAAAATGTGCTCGATGTTGGTCCTTCAAGCGCAAAGCGAGCGAAGCTGACAGCACCTGCTCCAGACGCACCAGGTAACAGTCCAGCAGCAGCAGGCCTGATCCCAAACTCTTCTCACACACTCTTATGAAGCACTACCATACACCTTTTCACGCGCCATGTGTGTAACGCAGCTGTCAACACTTCACTGAACCAGGCACAAGTTTCTGTCATCATCTTCGTACAACGTTACTCACTCAGCTAACAAACATACGGCCAACACTTACTCGCTACACGTTACCATAGTGCTAACAGTAAATTATGCATAATTACATGCAGCTAACAATCAGTCCATGTACTCTGTAACGTTAAATATATAATTACAACGAAACAGTGACACCTTAAAATAAAGTGTAACCAAAATATGCTCCAAGAACGTTTTTGTGAAGTTCTCGTTACGCTTTAAAAACCCTATGTTCTCTGAAGTTAAAACAATCCAGGTCTGCGTTTCCCAAAACCACATTGAACACTCGTGGCAATGGTCTCCACAAACAAACTTAAGCTCACGATTGCTTTTGGGAAGCGTTTATTTAACGTTTTACGAGCTTTTTACTTGGTTATCCGAACTTTACATTTTATAATTTTGCCAACATGGGAAGGCTACTTTTGAATGTTCCCTGAACATTCAAAAGTAGCCTTCCCATGTTGTCAAAATTATAGTTTCATTCAGTTGCAAGAGGTAAGGTAACGTCCAACTAAAACATTTCAGGAAAACCTTATTAAAGACCAGATAACTTTGAACGTTAGTGTTACTGGAAGGTTGTTTGCTCGTAACTTTGAGAGAACATGGCCAGACCTTTTGCTAATCTCTTGAGAAATGTTCATGTTAGCTGGGAACACTTCAAAACTCGTATGACACTAAAGGAGAATACAATTCCATACAATGGAGGTTAATCCCCTGAGTTTTGAGATTCAAGAGGGTGAATAAATAATGACCATTTTAGTTTTCACCATTGTAGTGCTTGAATTCTAGTAACTAATACAACTAGCATAGCGTGAATATAGTTGCTTTGCTAATAATGTTTAGGGACTGAAGTTTAAACTTGGTCGACATGAGGTAAAGTAGTAGTTTCCAATCAAATTTCTGTGCATAGGAAAGTCCAACTTATCATCAAGTTGTCCATCTTGTCACTTTTGTTATGTATTGCATCAGTCTGGCTGTGAAAATCATCACATCCATTCTTCTGACTTTCATTCTTATGAAAGTCTTCTTTCAGATCGGCACATGGAAAGAGTTCCTGTTGGTTCTGAATGAAGAAAAGGGATAATGCCATGAGACTGTCCCGGGACAGTTTCTGAAAGTGAAAGTTTTATTATGTGGTCATAGGTGCACCCAATACATTTGTGCTTTACACATTTGGCACGTTTTCAAAACTACGCTGTGAAAAATTATTTTTCTTTTGTCAAATAAATTTAGATAATACAGTTCAGACAACACATTTTGTGTTTCTATTTATCAAACCAATCTCTTTCATTGTATTAACTCATTTTTAATTTCAAAGAACTCAATTTTAAGGCAATCAGGTAACTTAATTTTTGTTCTGTGATGAGTGGCGCTATGTTGAGATCACATAACCAAGCAAAAATAAACTAGCGAAAAGCCAAACTAGCACTCTTGTAAGAAAGTAAAATTGTCTGAAGTTCAGCAGCCAGGTTCGGCTGCTTTGTTGAATGTGATGATTACTAATTCTCAAGTTGTCATGTTCAGACACATGGGATCACACTATTGGTCTTAATAGTTGATATACTTGTATTGATAGATTAATTAACCAGTTTTGGGTTTGTGTTATTGCCCAGTTAGAACATCATGTTCTACATCATGTTCTGTTTCTCCATTACTTTTGTACAAACCCAAGTGTTTTATGACGCATTACCTCAGCTGTCATTAACCACAAATGGATGCATGCAATAGATTTGCATCATGCGTGCCGTGCAATGACTAGCGCTCAAATGTGTTGAAGGTTGTGTCGGTTAGCGCATACAGGTTGCATAAAGTTCAACATCCCGTAATTTATCCTAATCAGCATGTAATGTGTCTGATGATCTGTCTGCAGGGAGCTAGGGTATTTGTATGTGAACTTGAGCTCTCGGTTTAATAACCGAGGAGTCTTCTTCCACCTGTAGTGACTTGTTTCTCTGGCTTCTGTTGGACCATCACACGCTTCAGCATCCATTTTGCCTACTTGCATTCAGACTATAGTTAATGAGCTGATGATTTTGAAGGCTGGAGTTTGCCATTTTTTTTTCAATAAGTGTTTTTTCCACCAGCAGTCCGAGATGGTCCTGTTGCATTTGCTATTTAGCAGTGCTAACCGTGCCGGTACTCCTGTTTACATGCACTCGTAGTCTAAATGAACCCAATCTGATTTCATATTCTGAAAGCCATCGAAGCTACTGAGAGTAAATTTGCTATTTTTGCTTTGATGACATACCTAGAAGGAAAGCTAAAAATATTTTGTGTAAATTTCAGACATGAATACACATACATGTTCGCAAGAAGTCAAACGTATGTAAACAGATATGTGTAACCAAAAGGGCTCTGGTGATGTGCATAACTTCTGTCAGGTATTTTTGAATTCGATTGAGAAGATTCAATCATATATGCTTAGTTTTTTTTCTTATTGATCGGATTATGTCAAGTCTATACCAGCACACTCAAATCGAAGTTTCAATTGGATTGGATAGATTGAGATGTTCACATGTGGCCGTTTCAAATCTGATTACCGACTAATTATTTAAGAGCGTGTAAATGTTGCTACTGAGGCACACGGATTTGAAATAAACTTTTTTTTTTTTTGCCCAAAGGTGGAATGGCTCTAATGTTAAAAAACAGTCAGTGCCTCCTGAATTTAGCAATTTTGTGATCACAAGAATTAATGTAAATTCATACAATAGGCACATTGTTTGCGGCACCTTACATTTTTCTTGTTTCTGCAAAAATTATTTACAGGTACTATAGTGTTATCAAAGTACAAACTTTGGTATCAAGACTGTACTGAAATTTAAAAAATGTGACTCTTTTAGCGGAATCGTAAACACCTCTGATTGTCTGTGATTGGGCTACAATGATCAGTGCTTCAAAAACATGTTGTATATACATCAATGACGAGCGCATACACTTTCAAACACTTCCGCGTGCTCTCAAATGCTCCTTTGCATTAATCATTGTAGCCAATCACAGATATATCCGATGTGCGCATAACCATAATGGCCAATCAATTACAATTTTAACTCAACAGCGCTCAAAGCGTCACATTTTTTTATTTAAGTTCAGACTTGGGCTCAATCCCAATTCACCCCTTGGCCCTACCCCTTAGCCCTACCCCTCCGTTTTGCGCGTTCACGTCTAGGGGTAGGGTGTCCCGATTCTTCTTGAGATCGAGGGGTAGAGCGAAGGGGTAAGGGGTACATAGCCCTCGAAACGGAGATTTTTCAGAGGCACACTCCAAACGGAGGGCTAAGAGAAAAGTTCACGGAATGCATCGGAAATCACCGGCGAGATGGATCGCAAACGGTTAAACATTTAAATTTAGACGCCAGATGATTCCACCACGCACTTTATTTACTCTTATAATAACACTATAGTCGTTTAAATTAAGAAATGGTATAATAAATTACCTTTCTGATCAGAAAAGACATAGATTTCGAGGAAGGGATGTTATAATCATCATGTTTATTCAAAGTTAAGAGCAGCTGCGCTGATTGTCAGTTGTTGTCATGGAGAAATCCTGTACAAACTCTGTAACGGCAGAGCTATCGCTGACGACTGATGGCGTATTGGGTTCATGAAGGATTGTTCCATTTCGTAGTGGAATATTTCAACCCCTTGGCCCTTGTAACTGGCGTTTTAAGGGCCAAGGGGTACACTCGAAAACAAGGGGTAGGGCCAAGGGGTGAATTGGGATTCAGCCTTGGTGCCGAAGTCACTACTTTTGACAACACTAGGTTACTTCTCTTACCGTCACAGGCTAAACTTGTATATCAGCTAATCTTTTTTGGTGGATTTTTACTTCATCACATTTTTTAGAAATGCCACAAAATTCATTCATTTTTGGCTGCAAAACTGAAATGTCATTTAAAATCATGGAGGGATTGAACATTTCTTATTACATTTTAATATGCAGACAACTAAGCTGTGAATATATTAGGGTTATGTCATGTCTTGTGCCGTTTTCATCTCGAAGTCCCGGCATTTTGTTGCACTCTGTCTAGCTTTTTTTGTTTAATGCAAAAGCTTGTCTTATGTAAATGTCCTCCTAAGAAACATGACCTGTCTTGGTATGGTGAACCTGAAACCAGCCTTATTCTAAAGGGTTTCCTTAAGATTTGGTTAGTCAACTAGGCCTAGAGAGAAATCAGCTTAAAGAGCAACAGCCCTAACAACTCCCAACAGGACACACAACAGTCAGCTTGGACTTAGACTTATGCACATTGTTGGTTAGTTAGTTAGTCGTCAGATTATTAGCTCCCTCCCTTGCACACACGCCTTCTCTTTTCCACCAACAAGAAACAGGTGCTGGTTCAGAGCTAGAGCTAGTGCTGGTTCAGAGTTGGTTCGACTGAAGAGTTTTCAAAGAACCGGTTTGCCTTTCCACAGGCTAGAGAGCCATCATTATTTAAAAAAATGGCGGTCACAAGTTTCTGTTCATCTTGTTGGTCATGGTAACACTGACGTAAGTGGTTCTTACTTTTAGACCAGCAATGATTTGGTGCTGCTTAAGAACCACTTCTACTGGTTCGGAGCTGGTGCTTTGGTGGTTGAAAAACAAAGAACCGATTTGAAACTTTGGCTCTGGCTTCGAATGGGGTATTATACCCCTTGCCCTTTTCCACCTAAGCATTTTGAGAGCCAGTTTAGGAGCTGGTGCCTACTCGCGAACCAGTTCTTTGCATTTCAACAGCCTAAACTGGTTCTCGGCTAGGAAAATTGGTTCTAAAGCAGCACCAACTCTTTGCTGGACTAGAACCAGAGAACAGTTCTTTTACCACGTCACCCTTACGTTGGGGGCTAGGGCGGGGTGACCAACAACACGAC